AAGGATTTATAGGTTATTCTGAACCTTCTTTATTTATAGTAGATGACAGCTCATTTGGGGTGTATAAAAGGAATTGTTTGAAAAGAAATTTCTATTTTATTTTTATGGCTGTATGCTAACCTCCTTATTCTATACTAGTTTTAAATTTTTACCTTGAAATCTTGCCTAAAATCAAACGGCGAACCCTAGATGTGCCCAGAACGGGCTCACCGATAATCTAGGACAACTGAGAGCGTGTATTCTTTGTTTCTCCGCATCTCATCGATCAGTTCATTGACAACAATGCTCGTTTCAGCACTCTTTTCGAAGCTCTATTCAATCAGTGTGCCACTTTGGGCACACCCACAGCATTAAAACGATAAGTGCTATCTTCACAAAATTTTACTTGTGTACTCCTTTAGACCTAATTAGACTGCCTACCTTTTTTTTTTTTAAATCAAAACTCCGACTTTAAAAGGTAGCGTGCCGGAAATGATTGACAAAATATTAAATAGACAATAAATCAAATTACAGATTCGGGCTTTCAGGTGCTCATAATCGGTAGAGGACTACGTTATTCAGAACTTGATTTCTTTAGTAATAGTTGTATTTTCACAATGCGAGAAGCGCACGGTGACAGCAGTTTGTAGCTTGATGAAATTCTTTCAGTAATTTTTTCGTGATTGTTTTAGTGATTTTAGGGGTATTTTTTCATTTACACACACATACGCCTTTCCAGAGCATTTGGACTAATGTCTCTTTGGGTTGAAATCATTTAAAAACAGCATATCTTTAGAAGTTCCCAGTCTCGGCCGCTAGCGATATTTTTTCCCCGTACAGTGTTACCAATCACTCGTTTGGAATCCTTGAATTTGTTAATCAACAATTCGTTAAAGTTATACAGTGTGTGAAATAAACAATAAAACACATACCAGATTCGGGCTTTCAGGAGCTCATATTCGGATTGAGGACTACGTTATTCAAAATTTGATGGATTTAGGTACCGTTGTTTTTTCACAATGCGAGAAACACACAGTGGCAGCAATTTGAGAAGCGATAAAACGATTTTAGTAATTTTTTCGTGATTTTAGGTGATGATTTTTCTTGATTTTGTTTTTTTGTGATTCTTAGGCGTAGTTTTCATTTACACAGACATACACCTTTCGAGATCATTTGGACTAATGTCTCTTTTTGTTACAAGCATTTAAAAACAGCACATCTCTGGAATTTCCGATAGGCAGTCTTCCCCGCCAGAGATATTTTTTTCGTGCAGAGTTACCACCGCTCGCTTTGGAACCGTTGAGTTTGTTAATAAAAAATTTACAAAATATTAAATAGACAATAAATCGAATTCTCGTTTCAGGGTTTTAGGTATTCATGTTCAAGTGAAGGACCACGTTATTCAAAATTTGATGGTTTTAGGTACGTTGTTATTTCTGAATGCGAGAAACACATTTGAAAAAAAAAATTTGAAAAGATACAAAACGCTTTTAGTGATGTTTTTCGTGGTTTTACGTCAGGATTTTAGTGATTTTTAGGCAATTTTTTTTTCATTTTTTCCATTTACACACACAGAGATTTAGGTACCGTTGTTATTTCCGAATGCGAGAAACACATTTGAAAAAACAATTTGAAAAGATGCAAAACGCTTTTAGTGATTTTTTTCGTGGTTTTACGTCAGGATTTTAGTGATTTTTAGGCAATTTTTTTTTTCATTTTTTCCATTTCCAGACAGACACGCAGACATCTGTCTGCGTGTCTGTCTGTGTGTGTCTGTCTGTCTGTGTGTGTGTGTCTGTCTGTGTCTGTGTGTCTGTGTGTCTGTCTGTGTGTGTCTGTCTGTCTGTCTGTCTGTCTGTCTGTCTGTGTGTCTGTCTGTCTGTCTGTCTGTGTCTGTCTGTCTGTGTGTCTCTGTGTTCTGTCTGTCTGTCTGTCTGTGTCTGTGTGTCTGTGTGTCTGTGCTGTCTGTGTGTGTCTGTGTGTTCTGTCTGTGTGTGTCTGTGTGTGTCTGTCTGTGTGTCTGTCTGTCTGTCTGTGGTCTGTCTGTGTGTCTGTCTGTGTGTCTGTGTGTCTGTCTGTGTGTGTGTGTGTCTGTCTGTGTGTGTGTCTGTGTGTCTGTGTGTCTGTGTGTGTGTCTGTCTGTCTGTGTCTGTCTGTCTGTGTGTCTGTCTGCGTGTCTGTCTGTCTGTCTGTCTGTCTGTCTGCCTGCGTGCCTGCGTGTCTGTCTGCGTGCCTGCGTGTCTGTCTGCGTGTCTGTCTGTCTGTCTGTCTGTCTGTCTGTCTGTCTGTCTGCGTGTCTGTCTGTCTGTCTGTCTGTCTGCGTGTCTGTCTGTCTGTGTGTCTGTCTGTCTGTCTGCGTGTCTGCCTGCCTGCCTGCCTGCCTGCCTGTTTCTCGCACTCAGAAAAATCAACGGTTCCTAGAGCCATCCAGTTTTGAATAACGTACTCCTCCACCGGAATATGGACACCTGGAAGCCCGACTTTTGAAATTCCGAATTTGTTTTATTATCTGTGTCATACTTTGTAAAACTCTAAGACATTTTTGTTTACAAAACTCAACGATTTCAAAGCGAGAAGAGACATCCCTGTGCAGAATAAAATATTTTAATTTCCACCTCGTAAGAGGAAAGTCTAAAAATTTTAGAACATTATAAAAATATTTTTAGCCAAAGGGCGTTAGCCAAAATGCTTTTGGAAACGACTGTCATATGTGCTTGGCATAAAAGTACCCGCACCCACACGAAAATAAGCTTTAAATCTGGAAAATGGGATCTTTGCAAGGGTACAGACACCTCTATGCAGGACATCGATGGAGAAGTCAGATTTTCTTTTGCGTTTCAAATTAATTATTTAGGCAGGGAATGAAACAAATTTACGACAGCTTCCAGTATTTCGGGACTACAAATAACTGCATTACTGCTTGTACAGACATTAGGTATTTTTTGGAAGCAGGCAAGATGAAAATTTAGCAACCGCCTTCGCCGGGAATCGAACCACGGACCTCTGGAATACCGGCCCAGCGTGCAGAACCATTACACCACGAAGGCACACTAGGAAGGCGGGAGAAATACCTCATATATTCCCCCTTTTAAAGGGCGACTGGGGTTTTTAGGGGACCCAATAGCCAAATCCTGGGTGAGGAGAATCATCATCCAACACCCTTTTAGTTCGGGCGCCACTGTAGAGACATTAGGTTAACTGGAAAAGCCGGAGAGACGAAAAATGAGCAAATGCCTTCGCCGTGAATCGAACCGCAGACCTCTGGATACCCGCCCAGCGAGCAGAACAACTACACCACGAAGGCACTCTACGAAGGGGGGAGAAATACCTTATATGCTTATAAAGGTAATGAGTTCTTATTTTCATCAAAATGACAAGCTACTATGCAGATGAGGATGGACCTTTATATACTGAAATAAGTTTATGTTTAAACTGTACAAATTTGTATATTTAATGTATTTTCCCGCCTCCTTAGGTCAACAACTCCTGCGAGTTGCAGGAACTTTAAGATAATTCAGAGATTTCATAAAAATGCATACATCTTTATGTCAAGTCAATGATTTCATAAAGTGCAAGTATATCCTATTTATTTTTAAAATAAAATTTGCCCACTGAAACTTCTTTTCTGAAAATGAAATATAGTTTCATTTTCAGAAATAAAGTGTTTTTATTTAGAGCTCCGGTTAGAATGATCAAGAGTTATTGACATTGGATAGTATTTCGTCGCTCTGGTATACACTGAAGTGACAAAAGTTATGGGATACCTCCTAATATTTTGTCGGTCCTCCTTTTGCCCCACGAAGTGCAGCAACTCGACGTGGCATGGACTCAACAAGTCGTTGGAAGTCCCCTGCAGGAATACTGAGCTATGTTGCCTTTATAGACTTCCATAATTGTAAAAGTGTTGACGGTGCAGGGTTTTGGGCACGAACTGACCTCTCGATGATGTCCCATAAATGTTCGATGGGATTCATGTCGGGCGATCAAGATGGCCAGATCATTCGCTGGAATTGTCCAGAATGTTCTAACCAATCGCGAACAATTGTGGCCCGGTGACATGACGCATTGTCATCCATAAAAATCCCATCGTTGTTTGAGTACGTGAAGTCCATGAATGGCTGTAAGTGATCTCCAAGTAGCTGAAGGTATCCATTTCCAGTCAATGATCGGTTCAGTTGCACCAGAGGACCAAGTCCATGCCATGTAAAAACAGCCCAGACCATTATGGAACCACCACCAGCTTGAACAGTGCCTTGTTCACAACTTGGGTCCATGGCTTCGTGGGGTCTGCGCCACACTCGAACCATACCATTCAGCTCTTACCATCTGGAATCGTGACTCATCTGACCAAACCACGGTTTTCCATTCGTTTAGGGACCAACCGATATGCTCACGAGCCCACGAGAGTCGCTGCAGGCGATGTCGTACTGTCAGTAAAGGCATTTGAGTCGGTCTTCTGCTGACATATCCCTAGGAAGACAAATTTCGCCGCACTGTCCTATCGGACACGTCCCTTGTACGTCCCACATTGATTTCTGCGGTTATTTGACGCAGTGTTGCTTGTCTGTGAAACATTGACAATTCTACGCAGACGTCTCGGTCGTTAAGTGCAGGTGGTCGGTCACTGCGGTGTCCATTGTGGGATGTTATGCCTGAAATTAGATACTCTCGGCACACTCTTGACACTGTGGATCTCAGAATGTTGAATTCCCTAACGATATCCGAAATGGAATGACCCATGCGTCTAGCTCCAACTACCATTCCGCGTTCAAAGTCTGTTAATTCTCGTCATGCGGCCATGATCACGTCATAGCCTCTTCACATGAATAACTTGAACACAAATGAAAGCCCTGCCAAAGCACTTCGCATTTATACATTTTCTAAGCGATACTACTGCCATCTGTATATTTGCATATTGCTATCCCATGACTTTTGTCACTTCAGTGTATTTCAGTGAAATTTAATCCAATAAAACCCAAAGAATTATTTCAGTTTAATGAATTCATTAATTTTACTTTCAGATACTTTACTTTTCCTCCACACGATGAGATTTCGAGAGAAAGAAGATGCCGGGCAAATTATCCATAAAACAGATTGTCGGTCAAACACTTGAACAAAAAGTATGCAAAAATTAAATATCAATTAAGCTTTCAACAATTACAAATTAAAACCTGTATAATTATAATGTAAAAGTAAAAATATTTGCTCTATGGACAGAAAGCAATTAATAATCTCAGCTGCGTTAGCGTTGGATTTAGCCTCTGAATGTCCATTTTCACCCTTTTTGCTTCCTTGTACGAAGTAAAAAGGAAGTATTGTAATCGCGAAAATTTGCAGGCATCATATTTCAACGAAAATATCCATTTTCGCTATCGAATGCAATTTAACGATGTTTTTGCTCGACATCTGCAAGTAAGGACAGAATAAATGACTCTTTCTCCCCCCAAAAAATTATAAACTGATTTAAAATGAATTCTGAAGATAATTTTTCGTGGCGTCTGTACGTACGTATTTCGAATAACTCAAAAACGTTGAAATTTTGTATATAGTGCTGCTATATAACATGTAGATGTGCACCTCGTATTTTGGCCGCACCAAACGTATATAAATATATGTCCACTCTGTTATATCCACTCTGTTAACCGGCTCAGTAATCTCAATTTCTTTACTCTTTGTAAGTTTGTAAGTTGTGCATTTTTTGCTTTAAAAATGATTGAATTATGTTGTTCTTATCTTCCGGTTAAGGTTTTTATGCCTTTAGTAAATCCGCGTGCAATATTTGTGGAATTATAAACAATTTAAAAGTTGTTTAAGTGCGGCTAAGTCTAATGAATTTGGCGATGGCAGACATGTTTGTTTACATTTTAAACTTGGCAAAATAGCGGATTTGTTGCCAATCTAAACAAACTAAGCTTCGCAACATCAAAGATAACGCCTTCTTATATTATTGCGAATTAAATCATGTTTAATCCATTGTGGAATTTATTCGAGAAATTAAGGATTTACTTCGTTATTTTTAATATAGAAATTTTGAGTTTTTATGTGTTTTACTTTGTCGGGAAGGGAGAACTGAATTATTTAAATGAGAAATACTGAATCGTCTGTAAAAAAACTGTTCCTTTTTTGTTTTGTTTGCTTAATTTCTTTTATACTACATCGTTTTAGATTCATTATAGTATTTGAATAAAACATGAGGAAACAATTAGATAATTCTTCAAATGATATAAATTTATATGCATTCTGATTTATAATATGAACGAAATATAACGCTTTTAAGTGAAGCTAGCCCCAGAGTGTCGCTGTAGTAAACAGAAGTAAATTTAATTCAATCCAATATGTTTAAATGCAAATTATACGCAAGAAAAATTGCGTATAATTTAATATTAAGTGCAAGTAAGTGATGTGGTGTACACATCAGATTTTTTAATATGTATATATATATATTTCTCTCTATATATATATATATAGAAGTAATTTATACATATATTTCTTTTTCAGTTGGGGTACAAACTGGGGTGATAATGGATACATCAAAATGGTCAGCAACAAAAACAATCAATATAAAATTGCAGCAAAGACCAGTTTCCCAAGAATGTGATTGTCGTCTGAATAAGAATAATTTGAAAATAAATTTTATCTACATTAGCCTTCCTGAAATCTTTATAAGAAACTCCCATTTACCATGAAAAATAAAATATCTACTATACCTTCAAAGTTTTATATACTTTTATTTTAAAGTGGATCAACTTTGTGCAGAGGCAATTTCTTAGGTTTATTAAAGATTTTTTATCAGCAGAAAATGAGTTTCGATAGGTGGCTATTGCCTAAGCTACATAAAAGAATGTGCTGTCAATTTAATGAATTTGTGAATATTTGTATAAGACATCGTTTCTTTTTAATAGTTTTGTGAATGAACTCAACCTTGTACTCAACATTGCTGCCAGGGAAAAAAAAAAAAAAAAAAAAAATACGCATAAAAGGAAAATAAATTGCTCTTAATGACTTTCTATGGGACATATTGACATAATCAAATATTGTTCCAATAGAAATTTTAATTTAGAAAAAATATAAATGCTTACATACAAAAGTTTACAAATCTTTTAACGAAACTTTGAAAGTGAAAATAAGCAATTCAATTTATGTTGAACACTAGATAGCAGCACGAGGAAGTGGTATCATTTTGGTAATGGGTTGCAGTTTTCAAAATATTTGCTTCAGTTTCTTTTTTTTTTTTTTTTTTTTTTTTTTTTTTTTCTTTTGAAGAAAGAAAATTACGTATATATTTTCAAGCTGCACTTCTGTAAAAGATTTAAATCTATAAATAAAAGTTATTAAGAAATAAAAATTTTCTTCCGAACAAATGGAATATTTGGAAATTTAATTTTTGTGCTGCAATCTTGTGCTGGAATTTAGTTCTACAACAACGTCCGTACCTCATTTTTATACGTACAATACTCGCAATTCGTCAATATCGTCTTATGAACGTACAATATCATCTTATGAAAATCCGCTGCAAACAGAGTTTAACAGAAGGCGATTTGTGTATTGCAAATCGGGATAGCTGTTTTAAAATAAAATAACTAACAAGTAATTTATGATTTTCATTATTATTCATTCTAATATTCATTTTAAAAGTGATTATAAAAATATTTTTTATAATTACGTTCTCGATGAAATTTTACTTCTTCCAATCAACCGTTTCGATGTTTGTAAGAGGCGGTTAAGGAAGAAACCAAAAGGTTTTGTTTGCGTTATTTGAATTTTCAAACACGCATATACTACTGTTTTGAACAGCAGCTATTGTTTCAATAGTTTTCCTTAGAATTTGCAGTGCTTTTCTAGATTTGATGGATGGTAGGATGTCATCACTTTTGCTGTCAATTTCTGCAGTTCTTTAAACACTTCCATAATTTGTTTTTATACAGGTTGTCTCAATATCGTTGCGAATTGACACACGTTCTAAAAATGAAAGCTCATAACCTTTTTGACTGATATTTGAAACTTTAGCTAGAGCCTGCAATTTATGCTTTAGCTAGAGTCTGTTATATGTACGGCTCTTTAAGGCGCATGCTGACTGCATGGGCGTTTTCGTGGTTTTCCCCATGTGTGACGCGTATACGAGCCAGTTTCCCTTAGAAAGTCTTCCACGAAGGCATCTCTTCCCTTAGGCAGATAGCCCTAGTGTGCTTCGCCATAATTAAACCAATAAACCAAACCTCGGACCGAACTACCAGCGTTCGGCGACTTTACCGATCGACCGCTGGTGAGTCATTGGGTACTCGATTACCGCATTAATGTTTGGTTCTGCGCATGCTCGGCGCCATTGTTGTCTGTGGTTCTGTGAGCTCTTGAATTTATCATTATTTTTTGGTAATTACATAGTGTATCTGAAATTTTGCGTTCTATTTTACGTTAAAATGTGATCTGAAGTTGTTTCAGAGATGTAGTGTGCATTTATAACATTTATTTGGAGAGCTACAAGCATATTCAGCGAGTAGGTATTTTAGCATAACCGGAATGGATTGTTTATGTTTGCTGCATTTTGATTTGAAGTTATTTGGACTAAAAGATGTGTATGTTCGTTCCCCTCGAAGCGATTCGGTATGTATTTGGTTCTGCTTCGTTATTTTACACATTAAATTGATTTACATAAATTTTACAGGAATTTGTGAATAATTTTGTTTCGTTGCATATGATAGTGAGAAATTGCACATTACTCAATGTTTTGAAGTGATATTGATGAATGCGTGTGTAAACTGTATTGGCAAATCTTTTTTGAATAACTTTCTGTCTATTTATGTGCGTTATTTGGAGGAAAACATGATAATTGTTTATATCTGATATGTATACATGAGTACGATTGAGTACTGAAATTATTACCGTACTTTTAAAGAACGAATATTTATTTGTGTTTTAACAGTGCTTAAACTTATTTTCGTACCCTATGCACAGATTTACACGGTGTTATTACCTTATTATATTGTTTTGAAATTGAGAAACAGACATACATCTGAAAATTGGGTTTCATAGTAAATAGACTTAGGTAAAATCCTAGTATACGGTGCAGCCTTTACGCGATTTTGAAAATTATCGCCAACACCAAAAATGATCCAAAGAGTCTAATATATAATTGTGTGTAAACATAGTAAAGTTTCAATTGGGTGCCCCTGTTTTTGGAGATTCGTTTTTGACGGCAAGATCGGCGTCAGGAAGGACACAATTTCAAGATGGCCGCTACACAAAACCAAAATAAAAAGTCAAAGAATTGCATAAACTGTGTGTCCATGTACACATCGATCTGTTTTCACTTAAAAAAAAACATCCCAGAATTGCACAAACTAGGCATTGCGCACTGCTTAAATTTGTCCGTGTACACATCAATCTATTTTTATTTTAAAAAAATCAGGATGCTAAAGCAAAGTTACACTATAATGGTAACCAGAAATACGATTTCATCGCCAAAATTTTACAGAAAATTGTCGCTAATCGAAGGGGCACCCAATTCTACACTAGAACCAAATACATAATATATACTATATATAACTATATATATTTTTGAATGACTCGTTTACTACTCATCGTTTATGTCCCGTTTTTACTGCTCATCATAAAGTCTCCAAAAGCAGCCAAATCCCGTGTGCACCGGATACTAGGATTAAACCTAGACTTATTATGAGTGGATTCTCTGTATTAGGATTGTAATGGAGTATTTTCATATCTTTTGCACAGATTTAAATATTGAATATTACTTATATATGTTACGGTGAAACACCGAAATCTGGAGAATGTCGACTTTCACCGGTGAATGTCAACATTCACATAGTCTTTTGGTGTAAGTCCGAAATATTTTCCAAATACTCTTATTTCTGACTTAACACCGGTCAATGTCGACATTCACCATGTACTAATGGTGAATGTTGAACATATAACAATATTATATTTTCTTCTCCGTAATTTAGTCGCAAGTAAACGCACTTGAGACTTGAAATAAGAACTTAAGAACATGAGACCCTAAAACACACAATACATTCAAAATGAGAAAGGAAAATAATAGAAGTTAAAAACTTACTTAATTATACAGTACGTTCTAAATGAGAAAATAAAATAACACTAATAAAAAACTTACTAAATTATGTGATTCAAATCTTATTTATTGCAACAACTTAAACTATTATGGCACTTTATGAACTCTCTTTTCGACTTTCACCAGAGCATATCTGTGATTGTCGACATACACCGGTGAGGGTCCGAATATACAAGAATGTAGTGAAATATTCGGTCTTTCACCGACGTATTTGGTGAATGTTGATATTCTCCGGTGAAAGTCGGCATTCTCCAATTTCGGTCTTTCATGGTAACATATATACTGCATTAAAATTGTGAGGCAGAGCTGGATATTGTGAGCAGAGCATAGACTTTCTACGAGTATTTTCAGTGTATTTACAGTATACTCTGGAGTATTTTCACACAATTACAATTTGCACAGAAACACTAAAGCAGGCGCGCCAACTCGCCAATGAAAGAAGCAAAGCAAAACATATATGTTACTCTACTATACAGGGTGTTTCATAGATCATGAGGCAAACTTGGAGGGGTGGTGTAGTGTACTGGAGGTGTCTTCAAATGACCCGTTTTCACACAGATACTGATGCAACCTCTCGAATATTGTGTGCTTCGGCACACGCCTGTTCGGAAACCGTTCCTGGTACAACCGTAGCGCTGCTCTGCCGTTCGCATCAGCAGCACCATACATGAGATGCATGTCACCTTTTTCTCTGTGCGTAAACACACCCATCACGCTTGACATCAGAGTTGCAGATGATCCTCTGATCAGATCAGATCGGTTCTTGGAATTCGCAGCATATAGTCAATCTCTGACTTTGATTGGGCGTTTGGAATTTTTGACGATTTGCGATTGGGCGTTTGAATTTTTGACGATGTTTGATTGCGACGTTTGGAATTTTTTGCCCTAAGGCGATGGTAATATAAAAATTTAGGCGAAATCGCCGCGCCGTTATAGGCGAAGCTCAACAAATACTCTTATACGGTATGTGTAATTGAGAAATTTTGACATAATAATTTTCTTCGGATGCGGGGAATTAGACGGCATGCTGTCCGAGCTGGGATTTATCTTCATGGTGACGTGGAGCAAGATTCGTCGAGGCCAGTCACGTGAGTGGTCACCCACCCAAGTACTGATCCCGAGAGGAACCGCTTGAAAAGGAAATTTGCGTGTAGCAAAGTTTTGGTAAAAATTGGCCTTTCTGCAGGTGAAATCAATTTAATTTTCTGTTTCGGCAACTTGCATGAGGTATTGAAATATTTGAAATCCAATTTTTAACTTTTCTGTAGTATTTTTCGCACTTCTTAGTTTTATAATAGATGACATTAATAGCTCCGATGATTCCGGCATCCTGAGAAGTAGACTGCAGGTTTTGAAAAGCTGCGTTTAGGTATTCTTCGGTATTTCTATTCTGTAAGGTATTACTATAGCTGGATTTCTTAGTAGTATACGTAACGTTGGGTTGTGTTAAGTTCAGAAGTGGGAAAAGAAGCAAAGAAGCACTTTGCGTTGATTTTGTATATAAACACATTTTCCTCTCGTGTCGTTTTTTTTTTTTTTTTTTTTTTTTTTTTTTTTTTTTTTTTTTTTTCGTTCCTGCCTTAACCCGTCACTTTATCACTTTAGACCCTACATTCCTATACAAAAAATGCATGTACGCTCCCCCACTCCTTCAAGTTTGTCCCATGATCTATGAAACACCCTGTATTCTCTCTATTGGGACGAAACATGCAACATTTCTAAAACATAACTGTCGCGTGTAACGAGTGTGGATAAAAAGGATACATTTATAAATATAAGATAAGTATATAGCTGCTCTTCGTATTTAAAGGATATATATTAAATAAATATATAGGTTTGCAGTTCCTAGCTTTCATTTTATCCCTCCCCAGATTTTGCAAACGTTCCCCTTGGGGATTTTTATACATTTTAAGGACTTTGGGGGATTTTTATTGGGATATATTTTAGGGATTTTTATGGGGAGGGAACAAAAGCACTTTTATGAGCAATTTTAAGGATAAAGGCATTTTTTAGGGACTTTGGAGGAAAGCATTCCTTATAGGAATATCTACAGCGGTGGAAAGACCCTCCCTTCGCTCCCATGACTA